TCACTCCTAACCTTCACGGGTCTAGCTGCCACGACCAGGTCTTTGCATTTATCTCCTTTTCGAATAGAAGACCGTGGTTGTCAGTCAACTGTTCGAATCCGGTATTATGAAATACCAGTAAATTATCGGTCAGCTAGTCTGGCTTGTATGCTTAGCAAAATCATGGGACAATTATCACGGCGATTACAATATCACCGGAAGGTGGATGAAATGTTACATTAAAACCAGTACTGTTTTCGCCAAAACCACTCGGTTGATAAACTCCATATGGAGTAATATTACACGGTAGTAGTGAGTTGTCTCCAGGGCTTCCAAAATGTGGTTGGCATGTTGTTTATTGACTTCACGAAGCCTCTCACAATAGACATCTCTGTGGAATCTGCGTCGATACGCTCCGCTGGATCTCGGATCGGAGTTCTCCCCGGGGAACTCCTTTATCAGTGATCTGTTTGAAATCCGTTGTTCACATTGCTTGGTGTGCGAGAAACGCCTAATGCGTTGGAGGCAAATTCGTATCGACGATGACCCGCAATTTTCACAAGGGATCTGGATCGTCCGTATGAATGATCACAGGTTCGACAACTCTGTCGACCCGGAGAGATACATGTATTTGAATATTGGTAGCGAAGCGCGTGTCGACGCGTTTCACTTAGATAGGACTTTACCTGGGATACACAACTCGAAATTAATCTCCAAGTGATGGAGTCGAGCATGTTCAAAATAATCCTTACTAATCGACCTTGCGCTGTGGCTCGAGGGATCTTGGGAGCCGCAGAGGCCCCTTCGAAGCCTTTGATTCAAGTCCGGCGTACAGCCATTAAATCTGCTAACCTCTCTGGTTGCACATCTCTCGGTTCCTCGCCTTCGAAGGCAGCTTGTCTACAGACTGCCTCAGCCTTTTCAACAAACTTTGCGATATTAAATAGTCAGTTTGCCTTGAACAGCCGCCCAAAATCGCACTCACAGAGACGTGGCTCACACCAAATATCTCTGACGCGGAGATCCCGATAAACGGTTACTCTTTTTCGAACTGACTCAAAACAAGGGAGGGTTGGTGGGTTTGATTTGCATTAACACGCAGCCCTGTCCCTCCCTGTTGTCCTCTCTGATACCACTCCTTCACCGTTTTGCGCTGCACTGTGGATTCAAGTTCTGCTGCGCGGATCCGATTCTCTCCTCGTTGTGATCTACCCTCGAGTTTCTCATATGAACCCTTGAGCAACTTTCCTCTAGCGACCACTTCACCCATTTCCTGCTGGTAGGTGAGCTCAACGCTCCAATGCCTCCTGAATGAAGCTCCAGCGCGTCGAATCACGTGGACTGTTTGCTACCGAAGTCGTTCAACGGAGCGCTTGGGCATAACATGTTATTACACCCAGCAGATACCGCTCAGGCTAACTACCACCCCTCCTGGATTTGGTCGTCACCGGTGAAAGACACTTCGTTGATCAGGTGATAATTAACACTCCTCCACTGGGACACAGTGACCACTGTGTGGTGACCTTTGACTTCATCTGCTATTGGGCCGGAAATCCCAAACCTCAAATGTGGCTTCGAAACTTCTGCCGCGCAGGCTTTTCATGAATGCGCATCTTTCTTGAACAAGTTAAACTGGGACCAGCTTCGGTGGAAGACTTATAGAGGACCATTGTCCAGAAAGTTCACGAGGCTGACGCGATGTTCGTCCCGCAAAATCCAGCACGCAGTCGGATGAGCCACAAATTACCTAAAACGATTCGGCGTCTTCTGGAAAAGAGTTATCAACCACTTTTCAAAAAGTGGACTACACATGACACAGAAGATGAGCTGGTATTTCGTAAAATGCGGAGCCGCTGTAGATCAGAAATCCGCCAATGGAACATAAAGAAACGATTCACCATTCTGAACCTCGCCTGAAAAAAACAGAAGTGTACTGTTCAAATACGTGAGACATCGCCGCAGAAACAAGTCATTCGCGTTCTTCTCAAAAAAACAGGAACGGAGAGCTCACGAGTGACCAACAGTGGTATTCCGGCGTTTACAGTGAACACTATGCAGGTCTATATTCAGCCCCAGCGTCCTTGTCACACCCAGTCTTGTCAAGGAGTAACTACGAACGGCCTCTAACCGACTTGGTCTTCACGATGGAAGAAATTCTTCAACTCTTGCACAAGGTAAACCCGTTCTGCGCGTTGGAGCCCGACGAGGCCCATTCAAGGATCCTGAGAGAACGTCGTTTACACTGGTAAAACATTTCTACCTGAAGTTGCGACAACCGCTTGACGAACGCCACCCCTTAGCTTGAGGAAAGCGATTATCATGCCGATCTACAAAACTGGTGACTGACCTGGCAGCTACAGGCCTATTAGCCTCACTAGCATACTGTCCAAGGTGATAGAACGCATTCTGAAGCAAGCCAACCTATATTACCTTACTACGAACAACCTGATGTCTCCAGTTCAACACGGTCTCCTCCCAAACCATTTTGCGTGAGAAATATGCTCTTATTTATGGAAAGCTTAACTCAAGCCAAGGACGAGTGACTCAAATCGGATGCCATATTTTCCGACTTCTCAAAAGCATTCGATCGAGTCCCACACGTAACGCTGCTCCACAAACCCGAATCTTACGGGATTCAAGGGAGAATTCTACACTGGGTTAAGGCATTCCTATCAGACAGAACATTCCGAGTGAAAGTAGGCTCGACCTACTCTTCTCCGGCGCCGGTCTCCATTGGAATTCCTGAAGACGCGTATCGGGACCACTGCCGCTTCTGGTATACATCAAGGACTCGAGGGATTTTGTAAGTCCGTGTCTACTTTTTGAGGACGACTTGAAATCCTGGAGTTCCATGCCAGTACACTTCCAATGCCAGTACACTCCAAATGGATGTAGACGCTGCAAAGCAGTGGTCGTTGGACTGGCACCTTCCTCTGAATGACGAAAAGTGCGTCTATATGTCATTTAGAGGAGACTCAGCGAATGCCTTTGACATGCATGGTGAAAAAGGACCAGAAAACATCATTATGATAGACTCCAGAATGAATTTGGGTGGTTGGCTTTCTTCAAAAAATGTCCTTCCCACTGCATAATTATAAGCCGGCTCAAAAGGCACGCCGTTCTACGGATAATTGCCGCATTACTCGAATGGACCTCCGAATACCCTACGAGGCCTACGTCCGACAGCTTCTGGAACGTGCCAATCAAGCTGTCTACTCAGGACGCACGAACGACGTCACCCTCATTGAGCGTGTCCAGCGGGTTGCTACGAAAATGGTTACCGGCCTTTAATCCGTGGACTATGAAACGCGTCTCGTGGTGCTTGACTTTTCTCCCCTGAGGTATCGTCGCCTTCGAGGATGCCTAATACTTACTTATGCCCTGTTTGAACAAGGTTTGGCCAGCATGTTTTTCTCCATTGACCCAGAAAACACACGGCGCGGACATGGTAAGACTATTTTCAAGCTCAGCGTGCACATATTTATTGGGCAAAAATTTCTCCTTTCGGGTAGTTGGTGCGTGGAATAACCTTTCTCCGACGGTTGTCCACGCCCCTTCTAGAACCCAGTTCACAGCACTATTAGACACTTATTTATGAGAGTCCTTGTGTTGACAAGCATACTGCCACGCGCTGAGAACTAAGAGACCAGTGCTACACCCTTTTTTAGCTTGTGCCTTTCAGGTGAACGACAGCCGCTGAACGACAAGAACAAAACCGACCCGGGAAACCCGGGCGAAATCCTCGATCCTGTGTATCAATCAGTAAATCCGTGAAGTCATTAACCGTTGTTGTTCGAAATATTCTATGCCACCTGTGCGATCGGGTTATGAAAATGAAGCACCAGGGCTTATGCGAGCACAAGGGGAAACGGATGATGTCGATTTTGTTTAAATGTTTGATATGTTTGACCGAAGGGTTAGTATGAGGTCTGGTTGAAAGCGCAAACCTTATCCCTAAAAGGAGGCGAGATGAATCAGTGGTTAGAATGCGAATTCAGTTACCGAAATATCCGTGGCTCGAACCCGACCTCTGCATCTCCACTTCTCTCTTAGTTTGGGCAGTCTGGTAGTATCCCAGCCCTCCTGCTTCCTTAGGATGGCATGACAGCTAGGCACTGAAAAGGTGTTGCAGCTGAGTGGTTATTTTTCATTATCATTTGTTCTATCTTCTGAGAGCTACCACCCGGCCAGAGACGACTTAATAACACTCCGTCGTGAAAAAATTTGTCGCGATATGACGGATTGTGTAACCCACTGAGCGATACTTAGGAGCCTACTTCTGACAATCACAGAGCCTCGTATCAGGTGGGTCAATAGATAGAGGTCCAGCTAACGGTCTCCATGTTGGTGGTCGAAATTTGTGTGGCAACCTTCTCCTCAAAAATGCAGGCTGCTCCGACGACCGTACACCAACCAGAGCTGTCTTGCGGTAAGGCTTTTGAGTCAGTCTGGTTGAGGACCCCAATCGTCCGCTCATCTACGTTCGCCCTCTGGCAATATCCCAGCTCACGTGTAACCATGAATGGCTCACCTACAAGTACTCTCATACCTCATCGGCCGTTGCACGGTGCCATAAACCGGGTGGTCTTAGTTTCTGCATACAGTACGGCAGATAAACGAAACAAACCACCGTTGACGCTTCCCTTTTTCACTTTAACATTTTTGTTGTTTTCCCCTCTCCTCAGTCCTTTGCTAATGACATCTCTGTAAGCCCATTCCTTAGAGCTGACAGGTCCGTTCACCGCCCACTACCGCCATCTGCACTATCTGCAGTTGATCCGGCTGCTACGGCCACAGGCATTTCGAAACCATCCTTCAAATCGTCGTTCAGTTCATCTAACAGCTTTTAACGTTCGCACTCTTAAACAAGCTGAACAATACACTGCATTTGCGTATACTGTAGACTCGATAGACTGCTGTCTGGAACAAGGAATCAATGCACAATTAAAGTTGTTGAACTGACCGTCCACTCCGTTTCCACTCGGTTCTAGTTGCGCACTCCCGGGGATCCAGGAGCCGCTATGACTGGCTTTGTTGGGGTTTTCACTGCTTTATGCCACCGAGCTGAATGGTCTCTTGCTGGTTGCCTGTTGACAATCGCCTATATGCGGTTCGTTAAGCAGTATCTGTGACAACACCCCGTACAGGCTATAAAGACACCTCAAAAGACTAGCTCTGATACACCCAAAGACAGCTTTTATGACGCTTAGAGCACCAAGACTTACTTGGGTGGTCATTGTGACTGGACTCGAGACGCACATCATCATCATCATCAATGACAGCAACACCAGTGTTGGCACTGATGCTTCACTGCCGTAC